ATGTAGCATTATATTGTTACTTACCTGAAACATTGTGAATAATATGATTTTAAAAATGTAGCATTATATTGTTACTTACCTGAAACATTGTGAATAATATGATTTTAAAATTGTAGCATTATATTGTTACTTACCTGAAACATTGTGAATAATATGATTTTAAAAGTGTAGCATTATATTGTTACTTACCTGAAACATTGTGAATAATATGATTTTAAAAATGAAGCATTATATTGTTACTTACCTGAAACATTGTGAATAATATAATTTTAAAAATGTAGCATTATATTGTTACTTACCTGAAACATTGTGAATAATATGATTTTAAAAATGTAGCATTATATTGTTACTTACCTGAAATATTGTGAATAATATGATTTTAAAAATGTAGCATTATATTGTTACTTACCTGAAACATTGTGAATAATACGATTTTAAAAGTGTAGCATTATATTGTTACTTACCTGAAACATTGTGAATAATATGACTTTACAATTGAATGTTATATTTTCACTTAAACAACATACTCTGAATGATACAACTTTACATTTGAATGTTACATTTTTACTTAACCAACAAACTCTGAATGATACAACTTTACATTTGAATGTTATATATTTACTCAACCAACATACTCTGAATGATACAACTTTACATTTGAATGTTACAATTTTTCCTAACCAACATACTCTGAATGATACAACTTTACATTTGAATGTTACATTTTTACTCAAACAACATACTCTGAATGATACAACTTTACATCTGTGTTTGGAATACCATGATACATCTTGGTTCTTGAGGGGACTTTATGAACACGTACAATTTGTTGAGGCTATAAATAACATTTGACACTTGCCAAACAGTTCAGATTGCAAACTAATGAACAGAAATATTGGGCAGGGCAACTTGGACCTGGATCCAAACCCATCCTCTTCCCAAGTTTATGTAAAATCTCGAGCCATGGTACAGAATGATTAACATGTTGGAAAGAAAAACTATCACTGTATCAACACTGTGTATAAAAAGTTTGTATATTCCTAAAATAGAAATAGCTGAGAAACAGAAAACTACAAAGAACAGATAATTATGTGAAAATAATGTAATATAACAGAAAATACTTTTATTAAAACATGAAATGTTATACAAAATTATCCAAATTGACCAAACACATAATTAATGCAGATCAGCATTGTTAAATGTAGTTAAAACAGATCAGTATAGTTAGTTAAATGTAGTTAAAACAGATCAGTATATTTAGTTAAATGTAATTAACACAGATCAGCATAGTTAGTTAAATGTAATTAACACAGATCAGTATAATTAGTTAAATGTAATTAACACAGATCAGTATAATTAGTTAAATGTAATTAACACAGATCAGTATAACTATACTGATCTGTGTTAATTACGTTTAACTAACTATACTGATCTGTGTTAATTACATTTAACTAATTACACTGATCTGTGTTAATTACATTTAATTAACTATACTGATCTGTGTTAATTACATTTAACTAACTATACTGGTCTGTTTTAACTATGTTTAACTAACTATACTGGTCTGTGTTAATTACGTTTAACTAACTATACTGATCTGTGTTAATTACGTTTAACTAACTATACTGATCTGTTTTAACTACGTTTAACTAACTATACTGATCTGTGTTAATTACGTTTAACTAATTACACTGATCTGTGTTAATTACATTTAATTAACTATACTGATTTGTGTTAATTATGTTTAACTAATTATACTGATCTGTGTTAATTACATTTAACTAAACATTTAACTAACTATACTGATCTGTTTTAACTACGTTTAACTAACTATACTGATCTGTTTTAACTACGTTTAACTAAAGTTAAAACAGATCAGTATAGTTAGTTAAATGTAGTTAACACAGATCAGTATAGTTAGTTAAACGTAATTAACACAGATCAGTATAGTTAGTTAAACGTAGTTAAAACAGATCAGTATAGTTAGTTAAACGTAGTTAAAACAGATCAGTTAAGCTTTATGTTTGTCAGTGCATTACTTTAATTCAGTATCTTTATTATATGTGTAGAAAGTTGTGAACAGTAATAAAAGTGGAGTAATGCATATTTTGGTCAAAGATAACATCTCATTCATGTACTATTATGTCTTGTGGTAGTACGTAATTCTTACACAATGTTGCCATTGTATAACCTTATACCTTGTCTATTACACTGTCAGTGATATGACCTGACATGTATAAGTATTCCTGTGATATGGTTTCCTAACTTTTGTCTGTTTTCTGATGTATAATTGGTATCCTGACAAATGGTCAATTCTAAGCCATTTAATGTGCTATTCATATTCTTAAGGTTATAGTTAAAAAAAACGTTGAATGCAAGTTTGCACTAGTCTATCAACTTCATTTCTTTGAAATAATCATTAATGTTAAAAAAAGTTTTTTGGAATTACTCTTTACTACACAAATAAATAATGTTAAACAGTTTTGGGTTTTACTGTTTAACCCTTTTGAAAACTGCTGAGATACACTAGCTTTGTCAAAAAATATCTGTTATTGGTTATTGTCTCCAGCTATCATTTTTGTGTATTTAAATTTTTGATTAGTTAAGTGATACATTTATAACTAATTTTTTATTAAGGAGAGTGGTTTAAAGTAAATAATTAACAGCTGTGTCTTGCACCTTTTTATTGTTTATTCTTTATTCATGTATAAAATTTTTAGGCTGATGTTTGTTGTGTGTTTGAAATGTTAAACATTAATTTTTGCAATTTTTCTAAAAGACATCAACATTTTTTTTGTTTGTAGGAGCCCTCTCCACTATGCCAGCAGTTCATATTTTTGCCCTTTATGCAGGCTTATCTCTGCTGATTGATTTTTTACTTCAGATTACTTGTTTTGTAGCTTTACTTGCCTTAGATACTCGGAGGGTAGAGGTGAGTGAATTCCTGAAACTAGTAGATCTCAGTTGATAGATTGTTTAGACAAAGTGGTCATGATAAAATTTGGTTGAACTGCTTGTTAGAGAAACACAAGTATAGAAGACGATATTTTGAAAGTCTTCTGCCTTTTGTCTTCAGGCGATAGAGTTTCAAAACATTGTTCTCTATACTTCTGTTTATACAACAAGCAGTTGCTGTTCATTCAACCAAATTTCATCATAGTAGATCTCAAGTTATAATCTTATTTCAAACTCAGTCAGTGAAATACAGAGTAAGTTCCAGAACTCAACACTCATTGGGGATGGCTTTGAATAGTGTACCAAGATTTATACCACACAACTGTGCAAAATGATTTAGGCATTCAAGTCAGACAGGATGATTCATAGATGACCAGTACTGACTGAGATGAACATAATTTTTCTGAAATATATCTTTTTTATCACATTCTTTTAACATATTCACTGCCCTGTTCCCCACTGGTTGGTCATAAGTGACTTAATTATGGACCTCATGACACACCAGTGGGTCACAGATAGTTATTTCATAGCCAAATATTTTTTGTGGCATATGAGTTTGGAACACTGTAACTGCTCCTCAGCACCTCTTGAATGTTTAATTTTAATTATACATAATTTACTAATACTACCTGTGGCAGTGAATGTGTTAAGATGTCACTTGTTTTTATTACTACAATATATTTAACAAACAGGTTCATGTCACCAGTTTCAACAGGTGGTGGTCATGGAAGATTAGAAAACAAATCTTTCTTCTTTCCTACAAAAATAGAAAGGGAAAGTATACAACATCAGTATATTTCTGGTTTGAATTACAGTATACTTGATGTTGCATGTCTGTCAACTCAATACACTATAAAAAAAGAAAAAAATTCTGCAGGAAATGTTTTCACCGATTTTTTTATTAAAATCCAACTTGAAATTGTTTGTGTTTAGATTTTTATTTTTCACCAAAATAGTCAAAGTAAAAATGTGTAATAGTCAGAGTGTACATTGACAAAATATATGTGAAACTTTAATGTTTGAGAACTGCTTGAATGGGTACTGAAAGAAACTTTATTACAAATGTAGAATGTTTCAATGTATCGAAACTTAATTTGTAATAAACTTTCTTTCACACTATTTTCTGAAAAGTGGGTTCCTGGTCATTCTTGGGAAATTCAACAGCAGGCTATTGTTCTGCTATAGACATACCTTTGTTTTTCTTTGCTACAGACACACTATTATTGTACATCTATAGATGCACCATTGTTGTTCCAAGATGTTTTGCTATAGATACCATTGATATCCTGCTAGAGACATACCATTTATTGTGGCACCAAACTACACATATATCATTGTTTTTCTGCTATAAACATGTTATTGTTGTTCCACAATAGATACCATTGATGTTCTGTTATAGATATACCAATGTTGAAAGACTAAACTATAGAGATACTATTTTTATTCTGCTATAGAAGTACCATTGTTATTCTTCTGACACAGTCTTACTTCCATTCACACAAAGCTATTTCGATTCTATTCTGCCCTCTAAGCATTCCAAAAACAATTTTGCGATCAGTGCACCAGTTTTTATACCCCATCAATTTTGCACTGTTTCTGAACATGTAAATATCATGTGGCTACCCTTCATGAACGTGCTTCTTTGCCATTTTAATTTTTTTTCCACACTTTTATTTTACTGTATTTGCATTCACTTGTTTAAACAATTTTTTTTTTCTTCAACAGTTTTATCTTACTTTGTTTGCATTCACTTGGTTCAACAATTTTTTTTTCCAATACATATATACTTCCTCTCCCACTTATAGCTATTGCTTGACTGTCAGGGCTTCTTTGTTTGCCCATCTAAGCATTGGTCTGATTTTTTTTTTTTTTTCTCATTTGCTCCAGTCTTTTGTACCCCCACGTTATTGCCCTAGGCAATATTTGTCACACTCGGTTGAGACTGTTGGTGACTTTATTCATTGGTGAGATGGAGAAGTATTCAGATTTGTGGTGGTCCTCCGGGGTGCTTTGAGAATACAATTGAGGGTGCTTTTTCCCGAGCCTTCTTTTAGTATGTTGGCTTTTCAGTCTCCTTGTGGGACAGTGGTAAGTTTGCGGACTAGTAGCGCTGAGGTCCAGGGTTCAGTTCCCTTGGGTGGATGTGGTGGATGGCCCAACATTGCTTTGTTCTAACAAAACATTTACCTCACAAAAGGTTGTTCCAATCAACAGTAATCAACACAGTCTTGAAAGGAAAAATAAAATAAAAGGCCACTTTGGGGTAAGCTTTCTTTGATATGTTTTGGCATTTTCCTGGTTGCTTTTGAGCTTGTTCCTTATTTGATGGCTGAAAGGTCTGGGAGCAAATTTTTAGTTTTTCTCTCCATCCACAGATCTTGTGGTTCATGCTGGAAGGTTACTTTTCAGTTACGTGAAGGGACAGTTATGCCTTATCCAACACAATGTTAGAACTTCGTGACTTTAGCTTACCACCACTAGGTGGAAGCATTTTCTGACTCTCAAATAATAGCTCAGCTCCTAAAATTTCATGATTCTAAGGTGTAGTTTATAGTTAACTTGAGTAAATCTATGTCCCCTGATGGAACCGGGTAAGTCTATGGTCTTCCAACTCTAAACTCCACTATATTGTTTTCCTTTCACTTCACTTTGCTCTTTTATATTTTTACTGTCGATGATACTTATTCCTACTTTTTTTATATTAATGGTAGTAATGAACTAAATAATTTTTATTTAACTAAATAATGCACCACAGAACATGGAATGATATATAACATGCAAAAAGCAGACAGTTTCCCCAAACTATTACTATCCTTCTGGTTTTTTTAGCTGTGTGACAAGAGCCGTTACAAATTCATCCAAGCTAGTCGTTATCTTTCCCATGTGAACAAAGCTTGTACTAGCAGAGAAAGTGACAATTCTATGTTCAGAAAAGAATGTAATATAATTGGTAATTTGATAGATGAAAACTATGAATTTCTATTGGTTATACATAATATAGTATCAAGAGTAAGAGAGAACTATTAACAAATCCTGAAACAGAGGATGTAATAGGTGGGTGGGACAAAAGGGGCCTGATTTTCTATTTGATGGCTCTGTAACCAACAAGATTGAAGGCTACAAAAATTATGTTTTGTCTGAGCGATGATGATTTGATAATGAGTAATATACATTAAATTTCATACTTATTGGAGGGATGTTGAATAAAATAGAGAAAAGGAAATGCCTAGAGAAAATATATCGCATTTCTCAAACTTGCCATTTTCTGGGCTCCCTAAATCTGGATTGATTATATTCTCCCAACAAGATTCTCCTCACAGAGTGGTCCCTTGTTCAACAGATGTCACCACTCTCTGTCTTCATTCATGGCTTCTATCAGGTTCATTGTTTCAGCCCAGGGACTGACTCTACGTTTTACATCTTTCCCAATCCATTACATGACCTTTCATGTCCTCTTACCACAGATGATAGTATACCTTCCAACTTTGGACTTTTCATCGTCTTCTGTCCTTCCCACCCTTCTGTTCTTCATCTTTCCCTATTCTTCACTTGGTTGTTTGACAAAGGTTTGTCCACTTTAACCATGTCAAGCTATCAGGCAGCCTTGTCGACCACCTTCCGTTTCATATGGTTTTGTCTTCCCCTGTCCTTTCTCTCCTTTTCCATTCCTTTAAATTGCCTATTGGGATCTCACTATGGTCCTTTATGCCTTTTCTCATCCTCCATTTAAATCTTTGTCTTCATATTCTATCTACCTTCTCTCTCTCAAGACCTGTTTTCTTCTCCTTCTTGCTTGTGGTCATCGTTGTTCAGATATTGATGCCATTAATTTTACCTGCATCCTTTACCATTCTTCCTATGTTATCCTCTATCCCAACTGGTTCTTTCTCTCTAAGACCTATATTGCCAGTGCAGGTGGTTTGACTTTCACACCCATTTCCCACCTGTACTCCCATTCTGATCCTGCACATCCTTCTAATGCTGAGGACGAGTTATGGAACCTCATCTATCCAGTTGAGGTTGTATATGTACATAGTTAATTCTATTTATATTTTACTATTCATTGCACATCTCAGAATGATTTGCACTTCTGCACATACTCCTAATGCTGAGGACGAGTTATGAAACCTTGTCTGTCCGGTTGAGGTAGTGTATGTATCCACCTGTGTCAGGTTCATTTCCTACTTCAAGAGTGAAGAGCATACCTATTCCAGAAGTAGTGCACTTGTGTGCTTTGTTCATCTCAGAGCACACCCATTCCTTCTGGGCAGTCACCTTATGCTTGATTTCTATGCTGTGTGCCTAAATTGGCCCCTCCACCTTTGCAATGTGGGATTCTAGCTTTGTGTAAGCGGAGGTAAAACCCTATCATAAGTTAACATTTTTCTGATAGGTGCTTACCTCTTCTTCCTCCCCACAGCCAGTGTTCTTTTTTTAGAACATGCCAATTCTCGAATGTGAGGATTGAGTGGGAATAGCAGAGGGAGCTAGCTGCACCAATATAGATGGTGCAATACTATTTGTGGAGAGTAGTCACATGATATGTACATGTTCAGAAATAATTGATGGGTATAAAGACTGGAGGTAAGTACCTATCAGAAATACATTTTCTGTTTAAGAAAAATGTTAACTTCTATAGACATGTTGTTCTTGTGCTATAGATACCATTGATGTGCTGCTATATAAACATCATTGTTACTCTGCTATTCAGAGTAACAATGATATTTATATAGCAGCATATCAGTGGTATCTATAGCACAACAACAACATGTCTATAGCAGAGTAACAATGATATTTATATAGCAGCACATCAATGGTATCTATAGCACAACAACAACATGTCTATAGCAGAGTAACAATGATATTTATATAGCAGCACATCAATGGTATCTACAGCACAACAACATGTCTATATCAGAGTAACAATGATATTTATATAGTAGCACATCAATGGTATCTATAGCACAACAACAACATGTTCTATAGACATGTTGTTGTGTTTATATAGCAGCACGTCAATGGAACCTATAGCACAACAACAACATGTCTATATCAGAGTAACAATGATATTTATATAGCAGCACGTCAATGGAACCTATAGCACAACAACAACATGTCTATATCAGAGTAACAATGATATTTATATAGCAGCACATCAGTGGTATCTATAGCACAACAACAACATGTCTATAGCAGAGTAACAATGATATTTATATAGTAGCACATCAATGGTATCTACAGCACATCATTGTTACTCTGATATAGACATCTTCCTGTTCTACATATACAATGTGCCACAATAGACATTCAAAGAAATTTAAATACTTGGACACCACAACCACTTTTCAAGATTGTTTCTCAGGAAAAACAGGCTTCATAAATACAACAAATAATCTAGGCCAGTGGTTCTTAACTTTTTTTGCTCCATGCTCCACCTCGACACCTCAAAACATTTGATCCTCCTGTGGGGCATGTGCCCTACTTTCAGAATCTCTGATCTAGGCCAAAGTAGACTATGAATAAAATACATTTTATGGATATACTCGCATTTGTATTTTACATGTATACTGTTATCGTTGTCTGGTCTGATAACAACAATGTTATTAATGTTCACCATGACTGGGAAAGGAGGAAAATTTATGGTAGTTATAGGAATAGAAGAAAGATAAAGTAGCATTTTTTGTTTTAATAAGGATTTCTAAATTATGAATAAAATATAGAACACATCTGAACATCCTTTATAAATAAAATACCTTATGTTATTTTCATTGTATCAGCTAAAATAGGTTTGGTAAATATAATACCTTATGTTATTTTCATTCTATCAGCTAAAATAGGTTTGATTAACAAAATGCCTTATGCTATTTTCATAATATAGGCTAAAACAGGTTTGATTAATAAAACACCTTATGCTATTTTCATAATATAGGCTAAAACAGTTTGATTAATAAAATACCTTATGCTATTTTCATAATATAGGCTAAAACAGATTTGATTAATAAAGTACCTTATGCTATTTTCATAATATAGGTTAAAACAGCTTTGATTAGTAAAACACCTTATGCTATTTTCATAATATAGGCTAAAATAGGTTTGATTAATAAAGTACCTTATGCTATTTTCATAATATAGGCTAAGACAGTTTGATTAATAAAATACCTTATGCTATTTTCATAATATAGGCTAAAACAGTTTGATTAATAAAACACCTTATGCTATTTTCATATTATAGGCTAAAATAGGTTTGATTAATAAAGTACCTTATGCTATTTTCATAATATAGGCTAAAACAGGTTTGATTAATAAAATACCTTATGCTATTTTCATAATATAGGCTAAAACAGATTTGATTAATAAAGTACCTTATGCTATTTTCATGATATAGGTTAAAACAGGTTTGATTAGTAAAACACCTTATGCTATTTTCATAATATAGGCTAAAACAGTTTGATTAATAAAATACCTTATGCTATTTTCATAATATAGGCTAAAACAGTTTGATTAATAAAACACCTTATGCTATTTTCATGATATAGGCTAAAACAGGTTTGATTAATAAAGTACCTTATGCTATTTTCATAATATAGGCTAAAACAGGTTTGATTAATAAAATACCGTCTGCTATTTTCATAATATAGGCTAAAACAGGTTTGATTAATAAAATACCGTCTGCTATTTTCATAATATAGGCTAAAGTAGGTTTGATTAATAAAATACCTTATGCTATTTTCATAATATAGGCCCAAACAGACTTTAAGTGAAGACCTTTGTATCTTTTTGTAATATAGTCAAACCTTTTGATGGCTTGATAAACGCTTATCGGAGGTAGAAGTAAAACATTGTTGTCTACATTGGTTTAATATTCTTCCTTACCTGGATGTATAAGTGATTGAGGAAAAGTTATGTTTAGGCAGTTATTGTAGTATTTTCTCAACCACTTTTCATTCAAATGAGAATTACTAACTCTCAGTTCTTATGGTTATTTTAAATTTGTCAAAATGCTATTCTTTCTTTATTGTTATTGTTTTTTTCTTTTAGTATGGTACTAGGCTTAAACTTACTGCATTTTGGAAAGTTTCTAAAAATATTGTAACATAATAATAATATTTGCTTATTTCATTTTTTATTTTTTGTCATCTCTCTTTACCTATATAAACAAGTTCTCTACCAAAATTCTCTGTGTTAGATCTCTGGAACAAGTGTATGCTACTATTAATTATCAAAGTATTGTTAACTTGTTGGTAGTGCATTTCACATTCAAGTATCTAAATACAGTTATGTTATTGCTGCTCCGAAGTGGTGTGTCTTAAATTTAGGAATTTTCATTTTACACTTACTTCTAAGATTGTTTTTATATATCCTGATTCATTACTGCATTTATCATGCTAGTTTATAGAGACAGTGTTTAAAGAGGTGTTACATACAGAAAATATATGATGACAACTTTACAATACTTTCTACTGAAGGAAACATTACTTATGGTATGGGTCATGAGTTTTAATATCATTTCTTCTTAGGCCCATAGATTTGATATTGTGTGCTGTGGTAAGGCTAATAAACCAGACTTGTTAGATAATCATGGAAACAGCTGGCTCTTCATCGTGTTCGAAAAGTATTATGCACCCTTTTTAATGAAAACTCCTGTCCGAGCCACACTAGTAAGTATTAAGTTTCAAAGTAGTTTTTGTACACTTAAAGTGTATTTATTGTCAGTATTAACATGTTTGTAGGAGTTTTCTTAACCTGCTAAAACAATGCAACTAACCTTTAACATCCAATCAGCATTGATTGGAGGAATGCTGTCTACTTGATATTAGAACTAGGAGTAGTCACAATTATCCAACTCATATTGATTATATGAGAAATTATTGATGTATAACTCATGTTAAGTACAGGAGGAATTATAAATGTATAACTGATGTTAATTACAGAAGGAATTATTGATGTATAACTGATGTTAATTACACGAGAAATTATTAATGTATGACTGATATTAATTACAGGAGGAATTATTGATGTATAACTGATAATAATTATTGGAGGAATTATTAATGTATGACTGATATTAATTACAGGAGGAATTATTGATGTATAACTGATAATAATTATTGGAGGAATTATTAATGTATGACTGATATTAATTACTGGAGGAATTATTACTCTATAACTGGTATTAATTACAGAGAAATTATTAATGTATAACTGGTATTAATTACTGGAGGGATTATTAATGTATGACTGATATTAACTACAGGAGGGATTATTAATGTATATCTGATATTAACTACAGGAGGGATTATTAATGTATATCTGATATTAACTACAGGAGGAATTATTACTGTATGACTGATATTAATTACAAGAGGAATTGTAACACTATAAAAAGTCATTACATGTACACCTTGACCCTGTAGTGAGAGGATTAAAACAATAAATAATACTTATTTTTTGTAATTCACTCAGTGACCATTATAATATACATGGAAGACATTTATCAGCTATAGTATATCATTTGTAAATTGATGAATTGAAAGTGAGCTCCTCCTTAAAAACTTCTTGTTGCACATATGGTCACTGGTAAGTTTTCTGGAATTGTCATTTATAGAGTAAAATTTTGTGGATTCAGTTTAATGAGTATTTTATGTTTTATTGGAGTTTGTTGTTAGATAATAAAAATGTCTGTAGTATCTAGTAGAGTTTATTACACATACTACTTTATGTTTTATTTATGCATGTTTTATTCAAACTGATTTTATTTTTCTGTTAGTTTTCACCATTATTTTACTTTCTAGTTAACTATCTTTGTTGGTTGGCTGTGTTCTTCAATAGCTGTTCTCAATCAAATAGATATTGGGCTTGACCAGAAGCTTTCAATGCCTGAGGTAGGTCTATCACCCTAAGAATTAACACTGAAGTACATTGTTATTGAATGATTTTTATTAGCATTGAATACATTGTTTCTCTATCAGTTTTGTACATACACTTCTTACTCTAACTTTTATACACTCTCCGATTCCACATCCATCACAAAACAATGTTTTATGATTACCTCTGTGACTGTAAGCCCCTCTCACTGTAGTGTTTGTTTTTTGATTACTTCTGTGGCTACAAGCCCCTCTCACTTCAGTGTTTGTTTTATGATTACCTCTGTGACTGTAAGCCCCTCTCACTTCAGTGTTTGTTTTATGATTACCTCTGTGACTGTAAGCTACTTTCACTGTAGTGTTTGTTTTATGATTACCTCTGTGACTGTAAGCTACTTTCACTGTAGTGTTATAACTGTTATTACAGTCTTCCCATACTGCACTATTTATGTATTAACTTTTATGTGCTTCCACACTGCAACACTTCTTTGTAAACTCAGTTATTACGCAACCCCTGAATGCTTTTATTATTTCAGTTAACATGTCTGTCTGACAAAATAGATTATTGACCTTGGAAGCACTGTTTGGTTACATTAATAACTGTCTCTGTGATTTCTCGCTTTTGGTTACAGAAGTAACTGTCTGTGAGTTTTCTGTGGTTATAATAATGGCTGTTTACAAACTCTGTTCACAATAATATTCTCTGAGTTCCTCTGTGTGGTTATGCCTGAATTTTCTTTGGTTACAGTAATAGTTGTTTCTTTGATGTCTTGGTAAGTACTTTATGTGGTTAAAATAATCTGTCTTTGTGAGTTGTCAGTATAATTAAAATAATTAACTGGTTTACTTGTTGATGTGGTTAAACTAAGTCCGGTTCTTTAAATATATTTCTCATAAACCTTTCCTGATTTGCAGTTATTAATGGTAAAATTTATCTATTTTACTATTATATTTATTTTGAATCTGAAACTATTTATCAATTTTTATGTGAATGTGTGTGGTTTTCAAATATTTAATCACCCATTAAGTGCTTAATAGCAGTTTTATATGATTTTTAACATTTCATATTTGCTACAACCCAAATCCAAGCCATAAAGATCTCTCTAGTCCCAGTAAATCATGAGCATGTAAAGTTGTATTGAAATAATTAGGTAGGTGTTATAGAGGAAATTCTGAAAAAAAAGCTAAGTATAATTAAAGATTGTGTGTTCAAGAAAAGTTCTAAAAATTTAAGTTTTTACAAAAATGGTTATTTATACAATACGAAAGTAAAATAGCTACTACATAATTGAATAAGAGTTGTTTAAACATTTGTTTAACAACAAGTAAAAGCTTGGAATGGTCTATTCTTTCATTGGGGGTGTGTCTGTGAACCAGACTAGTTTCAGAGAATTCCACTCCTCATCAGTGACTCTGGACACTACCACCAAATGAAACTTCAGACCAGACCAAACCAAGCCTTTATAGTAGTGAGGTATTGAAAATTGAAATGGTGTATCTAAGTGTTTTACACTCACAAAAAAGAAACCTAACATTCTATAGGTATTTGGAAAACTTGTAGCATTTTGCCACAATTTAATTCTTCATATTTTTAGCCAACACTAGGCAGCTGATACATAATTGAACAGAGTTGTTTAAACATTTGTTTAACAACAAGTAAAAGCTTGGAATGGTCTATTATATCATGAAATGCTACAAGTTCTTCAAATACCTATAGAATGATAGGTTTCTTTTTTGTGAGTGTAAAACACTTAGATACACAATTAAATTAGCTACCACTTCTCTGTGAATGTCACAATGGTTTTGGAACTACAT